ATTTTCCTTTTACACACACCCACACACACATATATATATATATATATATATATATATATATATATATATTTTTTTTTTTCTTTCTAATTTAATATTATTAAAAGAGTTAAGTATTATTTTAGTCCCAAACTTCATGAGATGTGGCCAAAATAGTCTCTGAAGTAAGAAAAATGAAACATTAATCTTTAATTTTTCTTTTCATCACTTGAGTTGGTCTTTGCCATGAATGAAACATTACATTGTTAGTTAACTCATTAGTTGACATGTTATGTGTTACATAATCAGTATTCAGAGATAGACAACTCGTTGTAAATCATAAAATTTCTTTTCATTTGAATTAGGGACACGAAAAGTTAATTACTTTTTTTTTTTTTTTTACTTTTTCTTTTTTAACCTAAATCCTTGGAAGTAACTTAATGACCTTTCATTTATTACAGCTAGTCATTCAAGTCCCTTCTTCATTGGCTTTGAACCATTATTGTTGTTCGATGTTCTTGAGTTGAGCATGTGGGTGGTTGAAAGTTCTTTGATGTGTTAGCAATTATTTCCAATGAAGTAAAAATATTTGTTAAACTCATTATGCATTTTGTTTATCACACGCGAATCTTATTTACAGCTTTGTTGAAAGCATTGAAGTTGTTAGTTCTTCCTTACCATGATGTTCTTTCTTACTAGTTTAATGATTGATTTTTGTTGACAGAAGGTGATAAGTTTTTTCTTTTTTATGAAATAGCTTAAATGTGGGCATTTTGTTGCAATTCTTATTTGGTGTCTGTTTTTATGTTGCACCATTATTTGGGAACCCTGTAAGTAGTGGTGATGAGATTTATAGTGAAAAATGAAGTTTTTCTTCAATTTAATGAATCAGTTTAGCTTGAAATGAAATTTGGTAACCTATTTGTATTTAAGTCAGCTTTGAGGGACTATACAATTCACTTGTGAAGGGAAATTGAGTGGGTGACAAATGATAATGTAAGGGTAAGATCAAAATTGAGTGGATGTGAATGAGAAATATTTTGTGAATGGAATACAATACACAAGTTTATAGATTAAAGCTTTTGCTGAAGAACATCACTGCTGTAGGAATTCATTGCTTCTACGTGTATAATATGGGGACATATTTGGTAATAAGTGATTAATTTGTGTATGTGAAGGACTGATATGATAGGCTTTCTGCAAATGCATATAAGGAGAAATTTTATAAAGTAATGGAAGAGTAAAGAGTTAAAAGGAGTGGTTCCTCCACGTACTTGCTGATCGAATCAAAGTTCTTCTACCACATTATCAAACACACATTGACACCGCTAAACCTTGAGCTTCCACTTGCAAAAATGACATTTGATATTTTGATATTCCTCTGAAAAAAAAAATAAAAATAAGAACTAAGATGAAGAATGGGACATCAGCCGTATGTGAACAGTGAAGAACAAAAGAAGGGAGATGAGTTGTGAGAAGTAGAAAGGACTATTAATGGAAATATTTAATGTTGGAAGAGAAGAAAATAATGTTATCATTATAGTTTTCTTTAATTGTGATTTACACATGATTATTGTTAACTTTTTTTTTACTGACATTTCATCACAAAAATTAGATAAAAATATTGTCATTTATGTTGTTGTTGAGCTGATCATGTTTATCCATCTAAGCGGCAAGCCAAATAATTTATTTTGTGGCAAATAACATTCTAACTAACGAATTAACTATGGAGTTAACGTTCCATTGACGACAAAGGACAATTTGAATGATGAAAATAAAAGTTAAGAATTGATGTTTCATTTTTCTTTAACTCATAGACTACTTTGACAGTGCATCACAAGGTATAGGAGTAAAATATGATACTATATTCATTATTTAAATAATAGATTAACATATAAATATTATATAACTCAACTTAAAATAATTTTGTCTTCCCTTTCTCTCCTTAATTCTACTTCTAAATATACTATATACTTCCTTTCTCTAGCAGACATAAGATTATATACTTCCTTTCTCTAGCAGACATAAGATTCTTGAGGAGTGTTATCAATATACTTTCTAACACACCCTTCTTAATACACTTACTCTTATAAGTTAAAAATTATTGAAAATTATAAAATTAGGAGAGAGAGTTATTAAATACGGTGTGAATCCACTAAATTTTGTGTTTTTAATAAATTTCAACTAATGAGAAAGTGTTTAAAAGAGTGACATAGAGTATGTTGATATCATTTCTCAAAATTCTTTAATCTAAAGATGAATCATATAATCGAATGAGCATTCCATGTAAAAAGAGAAATTAAAAACTTATTATTTTTGTCTAACTCTCGCCAATAAATTATATAACTTTAACCAACTCAATTTTAATACATTTAATTTTGTCTATATTTGATAAATTATAATGTTTTTAATTTGTCCTTTAGTTATAAGAAAATTGTGAAATACTTAATCAATCCTCTCAACCCCCTTTCTTAACTTTGTAAACTAAGTATATGTTTAAAAACACTGTCTATAGGAATGCTTCAAGCACGAATGCTATTTGAAAGATACATTTGGAAGTCTTTTGAGGTCAGTTAATCATGGTGGTTTAACAAAATCGATAATGGAAGAGAAGGATGCACTCTAGAAGGATTGCATTCTAAGTCGGTTATTTTGTCATATCTACGTCAGTTTTAAAATTGATTTAGATGAGGGCGATGTAGATGAATGAACATATCTACGTTGGTTATGTAAAAATTGACTTAGATGTATGTGTTCATCTAAGACGATTTTCATACAAACCGTCTTAGATGTACACATACATCTAAGCTCATTTTCTCTTTTTTGACAAAATATGACATGTTGGAGTCAAATATGTTCTCTTACCTTCTGACCTTGGATGTACTTGCAAACATATACCCATCTCTAATAAATCTTGATGAGCACTGAATCTATCCTTTGTCTTGCTTGTAATGTTTAAAAGTGTGTCTATTACACTATCACATACATTTTTCTTGACATACATAATGTTTATACAATGTCTAACATCTAGATGGCACCAACACAGAAGATTAAAAAATATTGATCTCTTCTTCCACAAGTTTTTCTCAGTTGACTTCTTTTGAGTTTTTCCAAAGATAACATTTATGTCCTTCACCAAATCATAAACCTGTTCACTAGTTAAGGGTATTGGTGCAATTTTATGTTCTTGACATCCATTAAAAGCTTTTTCCAATCTTCGATATGGGTCATGGGGTCTGAGAAATTTTTGATGCCTAGTTTAAACAGTTTTCTTTCCATTCTTTAGTTGGAGGTAGCTTGTTTATTGTTCACATATAGGACATATGTGATGTCCTTTAACACTATATCCGCTCAAGTTCCCATATGCTGGAAAATCATTAATAGTACAAAATATCATTACACGCAACTTGAAAGTTTGTTGTTGATACCCATCAAACATGTCAACGCCTTATTCCCACAACATTTTCAAGTCCTCAATCAATGGACTTAGGTAAACATCTATGTCATTTTCCAGCAGTCTTGGGCCGACAATCATCATACACAATATCACATATTTTCTCTTCATGCACAACGAAGAAGGTAAATTGTAAACTGAAAGGAGAACAGGCCATGAGTTGTGGTTGATGCTTAAGATACCAAAAGAATTCATTCCATCTGCAGCAAGTCCAAGCCTTAGGTTTCTTGCCTCACTACCAAAACCTGGAAACAAAGCATCAATTTTTTTTCCACTATGGAGAATCAGCCAGATGGCGAAGCAAGCCATTATAGTTTCTCTTGTTTGCATGCCATGTAAGGTTCACTAGATCATTTGCATTAGCAAACAATTGCTTGAACCTTGGAATGATTGGAAGATACAATAACACCTTTGTTGGAGGCCCCTTATCTGTTATATCTTCATCACTATTACCACCACCATCCTCCACTTTATATCGTGATAGCCCACAACGGAGACACTTGTGCAGTGCTTCAAACTCTTTCCTGTATGATATATAATCATCAAGACATGCATGTATTTTCTTGTATTGTAAACCCATGGGACACAAAACCTTCTTTGCCTCATAGTG